TTGGAAATTTGGACCGAAGGTGGAATATGAGTTTCTCTTTTTTTCTCTCGCACTTCGTTATGCACAAAAAATTCGATGCGCTCCCCTCTAAATTATGACCCCTGCAGTAACGTACGTAAGGAAGTGTTTTTGGGGGCTAGAAGTTCCGTAAATCAAAATAAAATTTGACCAAAAAATATTTTTAAAAAAAGATATCATAACATTGCATGAAATTTTGACTCTTAATCTACTAGCACTGCATCAATCACATCTGTTGGCAAGATAGAGCTGCTATGTTGGAGATTTTCACTTGAATCTTCTGCAGAAAGGATCCTTCCATTCAGACAATTGAGCATGATGGCTGTGAGCCATGTTTCAGTTTTTTTTAATTACTATTTGAAATAAAAGCAACATGCAGAGACCTGAAAGCTTCTCATTCCTAGTAGCAGTACTATGAATCCAAGAAACTTGTTGTTTTGCCTGTTCTCAGTTGAAATGGGCGTCAAGACCTTGCCAAATTGAGTGAGGTACTGAGGATTTGCTCAGCTKTTAGCATCCGCAAAAGTGCCCAACCAATGGAAGAATCAGGGACGCCAAGACTGCTGGCCACCAGCTGCATTAGGGAACTACTACTACTAGTAATGTTCTTGAGCTCAGCAAGAATGGATTCCAAAGAACCAATGGAAAGGAGAGACAAGAAGTCTATGATATTGCTGCCTTCTCAACTAGAACAAACAAGAAGGCTGCCACCTTTAGAACCACTGCAATTATGTAGTAGACCTATACATAATCTGATGTACCAACAACAAAATAGATGTTATTTCATCCCTTGACATCCCAAATAAAATTGATTGTTTTAATTCAAACTTTGCTTCAATAAAAAATTGTAATAAATTATTCTTTTGACCTAGAGAGTACTAGTACTACTACCCTCAATCATCAATGTGGCCCCCCACTATTCCATTCCTCCATGCAACTTCTTTTGGGTTGTTTAACTTTAACACACAACTTCTTCTTGGTATGTTAGTAAATACGCACACTAGTACAATAGTTTGACTTTGTCTATTCACCAATATGTCATGATAAATGGTGCTCTAATATGTTCTGTGATAAACTTTGTCAATGTTTATACCATACTACTACTAGTAGTAACTCCCATTGGCCAAACAACTGAGGTTCTCTTGACATCATTACATCCAATGCAAGTAGTAGTGCTCATAATGAAGCAACAAGAGATGAAACAATATTTGCTATATTTACTGACTCTGCTTATAATATTGTTGATAGGGAACTTTTCATGTTAAGTTTATATTGGGATATCATGGAATTACTAGTGCTATGTCAAATCTCATGTGCATCTGGGTAGGGATTAATCTTGCTACAGAGACTTGGGACATCCTCCTSAAGATATGGGAGATTTTTCCTTACAACTAGATCTAACCAAGATAACATTACCAATATTTAAAGGCAAAGAAAGACTTCCTTATCCTCTTACTCAAGACATTATCCAAAATTGAGGTCTAGATGGAGGTGACCTTGTATTTGATGAGAATGCATTGTTTGATGTGAAGAAGAGACATACCCTTCAAAAAGAAGTTCTGCACTCTATTTCAAAAGCAATTACTGCCAATTGTCAAATTAGGTTTCTTTTGAATAAAACTATGGTATCTGGCACTAGTAGCAAGTTGTCCATTGTGGGTATTAGGTGCATGAAGAAGACCAAAACAGACCAGAGCACTGTAGAACAAACAGAGCAGATACAACATAGTCCTTATGCAAGTYAACAGATTACCAAAGGTGAAGTATTTCTAGGAAAAATTTGGCGAGGAGAACTAGAAGGCTTAATCAAGCGTATATCAGATGATTACCACATACATAATTATGCTGCAACGTCAATTCCCACTACTTTTCTATCTGTTTCCTATTCTTCGGGAGCYAGATCGCATGATTTTTCAGCACCGGTGAAAGTGTCAATACCAGCATAAACACCCACCATGTTGTCTTCGGAATTTTCATCCGCTTGTAAAGTTGGGCCTATAGTCATTTTCAATTCATCGAGCAAGGAACCGGAAGCACCCAGAAAAATACTTGTTGCCACCTCTGTTTTTCTCTTGGTCACGTTGTTCATCTTTGGGTTTGTACTTGGCGTATTTTTTGGTGATTCYTTGCCCTCATATTCCTCCAATGGTTCTCGAGTGCTACCCACAGACGAAGAGTCTTCCTGTGGGTATTCCTCTCGAAGAGCGGCGACAGCTTCAATGCGATTTTGCAGCTCTCGTACCAACAGTTGTTCTGAGAATGGATCTCGGGCAGCAGGCATATACATGGTACTGGACGAACTTTTTCCGAGAGGATTGCTCGTCTCGCCGTCAACCCTTGAATTTTTTCTTGCTTTCTTCGCAGATTGCTTTTTCTTAGCGCCCTCCCCAGAAAATACTAGTGTTTTCGTTGATTTGGCCTTTCGTTGGTCGGGATCTGGTAACTCTTTGTCGTTACCATGTTCATAGCTTTGCGCTTCGTTTGCGTTATTGATGTTGATTTTTGAGAGATTGTTTGAGTTTGAGCCGCTGTCCCCCTCGCTKGCGTTTTGGTTCTCATCGTGTTCAGTGAGAGGAAACAACCTACTTTCTATCTGATATTCGAGAGTCTGACAAGTTGCACTCAGCTGCTTGACCTGTTTCCACCAAGCTAGCCTGGATGTGATGATCATCGAATCTATGTTTGGATCGTCTTCGTCGAAATGGGAAGGGTTTTGTCGCGTTAAAGTCGGGTCACTTTCATTCACCGAACTAGCGGCTTCGGAGGGAGCGTCCAGTGTATTAATGGCGCACTGATGGTTATGCGTATGCATTTGGAAGGACCATAGTGCGGCATCCAGAGCGTCCAGCTGTTGGCGGTATCTTAACAGAGGCAAGACGAACTCACAATAATTATTTTCTGTTGTGCGGCTGCTAATGGGGAATACTGAAGTGCTGCTCAAGGTGGAAGAAGAAGAGGTCGAGCTCTCGTCAAGCAAAAGATTGCTCGCAAGGTATTCTCGCAAATTCATGGCTGTCCTCGTGGATTCGTTCAAAAGATCGTATGACCGAGACTGCAACGTTGATATTGTTTGCGTTTCATCGCTAGCTACCGAGGACAAGGCCCCCAAAGCGCTCCATCCACAAAACTTCTCCGCACAATCGGTCAATAAAATTGCAATATGCTTGCGGGATTTCTTGATCCATACTAAATCAATGACCTCTGGCATGGTGAGAGTGCCATATTTGACCACACTGTCGTGGTCCTCCTCATGGTTTACACTGTTCGTTTCCACACCGCAATCGTCGACGATCTCGCCATCGCTCCTAGTTTTGTCTTCCCGTCGTCGTTTCTGCCGTCGTCGAGCGAGGTCATCCTCAACAGCTACGAAAACATCGACGATGGATTGAGCCTCGTGAACAATAACCTGGGCGATATTGCGCCGGGTCGATGCGAGCGCCAAGATGGAAGACGTGTCCACTTTTCGCTGGGGCTGGCCTTTTCGTTCATGCTTTCCAGAAACCGATGGTGAAGTTGTTGGTACTGCTACATTTGTTGTTTTTGTTGCGATAGCTGTTGCTGCCGATATCATAGATTTAGAAGACGTGCTGMCGTTGGCTAGTGCATTGTCACTGTGTTTCGAGGGATTGTCTTTCTCCTTCACGGCCTCGCGGGTAGCAACCCTAAATGCCCTGGACATTGCCGCTCGTTCTACGCGTTCTACAGATTGAGAATGGGCCCCGAGGCCCCAGTGCAACCCCGAGCTAATCTTGAGCCAATAGAGAGCCTTGTCTATCGTCAATACCAGCTGGGAATGTGCCTCGAGAAAGCGAACGACACTATTTGTAGCCCTCGAATCAACAGTATCAATCTCAAACATCCGTAATAATGGTTTGTTTCCATCCTCTTTCGATGAATTCTGACAGAAAGAAAGGTYACTGTCATTGTCGCCGATCCCTATGATTTGGTTTTGTGGATAGAATTGCCGCTCGCCATTCTTTTCTGTTGGTTCGAACCCGCCCATGGGCGGAGCTCCAATCAATCCTAGCAAACGAGAGGCTTCCTTGCGGCACTCATATAAATTCCGCATCGACAATTCGTGTTCTGTGTTGCCCTTTGAAGTTTCGTATGCAAGTTGTTCTCGTGGATGGTTTCTGTGTCCTTGTCTGAACCATAGCGATTGTGTTCCCGTAACGTCCGTGTCTTTCTGGTGCTGCCAGATGATGAGACATGTCAACGTCAGCATCACGATCCTGGCCTCATCGCTTGCTACCAATACGGCCAAGCCTACTGGGATCAACGCCAACCGCCACATTCCGCCAATATCTWGGCCAAAACTTTTGTGATCCGCGTCTTTGGGATCATTTTTGCAAGCTGGAATGACGGAAGCAATGTTGGAATCATTGCGGTCGCCCTTTTTGTCGCCATTGCTCCCAGAGGGCGAGGCTTCATCGCCACCACCGTTACAGTCTTGATTAACATCGTTATCGTTGTAGGCTTCGAGGTGAGCATACAGTTGCGAGTTCATTGTAAAGTTTGGATAATCATTGTCGCAATGTATTCATGGCCAATTTTGTATTTCAAGGAAAACGGAGGGTTTCGAGAAAAATATTAGAAGTATTCGTATTTCTCGGAGAGTCTTGATGTTTGGAAATACCGTACCTACTGTAATACTCGTACTAGTAGTTCGTACCCATGTGTTTTGTTTTGACGTACCGGTATCATACGTAGTACTGGGTACTTTACCGTACGGTRCGGTACTGAAAATGAAAGAACGTTTGAATTTGGGGGATCGATTATTCATGCCCAGACTCGGAAAAAGGGGTTGAACAATGACGTCTGCATTGGCCGGTAAAAGCGCGCCAAATAAAAAAATACTACTACTTCGTACTTCGTACTATTACTTTCGGCGTAAAAAACCTGTTCCAAACCAATAAATGCGGAAGGCATTGTCAACGGCACTGAACAAGTGAACAAACACCACCCSTCAAAGTTTCTGCTTCGGCTTCAGCATTCCGACTCCACAAACCATACCGAAACTAAAATTTTAGCTGTTCGTTTGGGACAGCGCCAACTAGCTTGCCACGGTGTGATCGCTTTCAGATCCACCCACCATTACCGTGTACGACGCCTCACAATCTCATCAGAAAAGCCACTCCCAAACGGTATCACAAATCACAAATGCCGAGCTTTCAAAACCCCGCCCCCGGGGCAAAGAGCATGAAGTTCCAGGACGCTCTGAACCCATTCACTCCCTTTCTTGCGCAGCCGGTACGTTTCGTATGGAATCGGATTCTATGTTCCTCGTGCGAGCAAGATGGGTTGGTGACTCTTTTCGGACCGCGTGATTTCGTTTTCTGGAGTGTTCTCACCAATGTTATTTCCTTCGTTTTCTTTTGACTCCCTCATACCACGAATTGTTCTTGCTCGCCGAACGACAATGATGTTCGATGACGCTAAATACACAAAAACATCGATTTTTTATGCGATACGATTCGACTTAACGCGATTCGATTTTATCCCGTGAACAACGTGTCTGGAACAAAATATGTGACAATACACAGGGCGATGAGCCACCCGAAGAGGACCCCACTCCGCTGACGGAAGCGTTCGATACCCGACTTCGCCTCGATGCATCTTCGTCGCACGCGGCGGCAAGATCGCAGCAACAGCAACAGCAATACGTGCAGCATCAAGATCAAACCAGCGCTGCTGAGAATAAAACCAACAGCAAGGCTTCCGCCTTTGACGCCAATATGGCACTGAAAAAGCAAAAAAAGAAGAAAGGGCGCGATGGCGGATACGACAACGACATAAGCGACGACGAAGAGAGCAGCAACCACAGCGRCGACGACGATGGTGATCACGACGACGGAGACAGCGATGACGAATTTGATTACTTGCTGGACGACGACGACGACGATGCCGTTCTGCAGGCCATCCGTCAGAAGCGCCTGCGCGAACTCAAAAAGGCGCAGAGCATGGAGGCAGAGCACAAGGCCAATGGCCACGGGGAGGTCCGGACCATCTCACAAGACGAGTTCCTCTCGGAGTGCACGTCCAGCGATCACGTGGTCGTCCATTTTTTCCACAAGGAGTTCGAAAAGTGCAAGATCATGGACCACCACCTGAAGGCGATCGCGACGAACCCCAAACACCTGTCCTGCAAGTTTGTCCGGATCGATGCCGAGAAGGCGCCGTTCTTTGKCGTGAAGCTGAAGATCAAGACCCTCCCCACGCTGCTGGTTTTCAAGAACGGCCAGACCGTTGAGCGGCTGCTTGGCTTCGAGGGGCTGGTCTCGTCGAGCCGTGGCCCCACGGTCGATCTGGAGGACTTTCCGACCAGCAGGCTGGGCTACTGGCTGGAATCAACCGGTGCAATTGAATACGATGGACCGGAGAGTGACGACGAGGACGAACGCGGAACGTCGAGCGGCACGAGGAGGCACCGGACGCGCGTGTACGACGAAGACATCTGAGCAAAACCGCAAGCGAAGGAGAGAAAACAAAGCATAATCAAACGTAACGCAGATGGAGCAGCTGCAACGAAATAGATTCACATATGTGGGGTTATTCAATCGGATGGAAGTTTATGTTTGGATACTATGACAATTGAAGTAGCAAACGAATCATTCAAGGATAAATGCATCTTTGCTTCTTGGGCCATYGGGGTCGTTTTACTTGTGTTTTAAATACGATGTAGGTATCTATTAATTAGCGGATGATCGATCTGCTGTTTGTTACTCGTTGTCTGGTTTCCAGTTGCACGGCTGGATCTTCAGAACCGCCTTGCAGTTGTTGGGCATGGTGTACATCAGCCCATTGGCGCAGATCACTCCCCCCTCCCATTTGTCTAGCGTTTCAAACGGACTGGGAAGCGGCCAAGTCGTCACCTCGACGTCGCCGTCCCCGCCGGCGTCCCTGTCGTTGCTACAGTCGATCCGCAGCAGCGTCTCGCCRGATAGCGGAATCGCATATACACACTTGTCGTGTGGGTTTGTGAGCCCGTTCTGCCACTTGTTCTGGAATATTCGCTCCATGCCAGAGTCCCTCAGATTCGGACCAACGTTGCGCGCAATATTTCTTGCCGTATCTACCTCTAGAACTTGCTCGCTGCCGCTCGGGAAGATGTACACTTTTCCATTCGTGCCGGTCATGGCCCCCAGGTACTTATACTTTCCATCGGACCGGTGTCGCCCTGTCTGGATGAAGCTCCCGTCACCGATTTCGGTCAGGGTAGGACCGTCATCGCCTTCCCCTGGTTTGACGAGGAGGACGGTGTCAACGTTGTTCGGGATACACACGATCGTTCCATCGTCCGCCGCTGCGGCGCCGTGCCACTTGTGTCCTCCCTCGCCGTAGTCGCCGTGCAGCGTGATGGCCTCTGGGCTGATCCGCAGGACGTGCGGGCTATTTTGGGGGACGCAGTAGATGCTACCCCCGGATTCTACCCCACCGTACCACTTATACTTTCCGGGCAGCTCTGGGCCTACGAGGCTGCAGGTGTCCGTCTCTGGGTCGATTTTCAGGACGTGCAGGGCAGATTGTGGCACAGCATAGATACAGCCATCGTGGCATATGTTCCCACCGTGGTATTTCCAGATCATCTTGCGTTGCTGTTTGGCGACGGCCGGGTCCTCGTAGAATGTTTCGTATGGAATTGGTATCTTGGTAATGGTTTGAGTCGGGACGTGGATGCGGAGTACCTCGGAAGCATGACAGGGAAGACCATAAATGACGTCCCCAATCGGGATGCCCCTCAGCCACTTGAACTTGGTGCCGTTGGAAACCAATTCTTTTGAACCAATCAGTGTCACGTCATCGGTTTCCGGATCGATCACCAATACCCGGGGCGAATGGCCAGGTATGCAATAAATCTTGCCGTCGCTGCCAACCTCCCCACCCAAAAATAGGGTTTGACCTGTGAGTGGTTCTTCGGACCACAACAGTTTTAAAAGGGGACCACCATTCGGTCGGTGATCGACTTCGTTGTCAGGATGCTTCGTCTTGACATCGATTTCGCTGTAAAAATCGGAGCGAGGGGCTCGGCTCTTATCTGTCGTCGGATCCATGTTACTCAGTCCTATCGGTCTCGCTTACTTCCTTTTTTTCCTTCAGCGGTGATTTGATATTATGGGAAGAGATGGTGATGGTTGGCGGCAGTTTGAGGAGTACTGTGAGAGTTACTTTCTGATTGATAATTGATGAGGGATGAGGGATGATTCCAACAAACTTCAGGTATCGTACGACTTTACACTCGTACCCATGGATATTTTCGCTCGCGAAAACGAATGATTGAGAGACTAGACCATGATTCATTCGACTCATGCCGCGCCAAGCCGGGACTCAGAACAGACGGACGGACAAGAACGTTAAAAATCCAAAATCCATCAACTACGAGTACGAGTACGTACGTACCTACTTTACGGTACTAGTAGTACTTCCTAAAAATACCGGTACAAATTCCGATCTGTTTCYGCGACACTTGAAAGGAAAGTGTGAAGTGATGTTTCTCTTTTCTGCAGTAAAAAAAACTTCTGGAAGCACCTTGCTGCGGATTCGAATTTCTTCTTCGCCGAAGGTCTATTCTTGGTACGAGTACCAGTACGAGYAGTTTGCAAATGCCGAACAAGCCGTTCCATCAACGCCAGAAGACGGCCATCGGGCATCTGCCAAAAACAACGATAATCATAATCCATGATTGCTCAAAGAAAGGAGGATACTTTTTTCGCACTACTTAAAATTCTCCCGTGTGACCGAAGGATAGTAACTAGCATATAAGGAAAGCACAGAGGAACAATCTAGCTTCTGTGAAAAAAACACGAGGATAGATATATCTTATTCCGAAGAAAGAGAGTCGCTCGAAAATTCAACTAAAAGCCTACATGATGCAAAGGAAACGGCATGGTTTGAGAACGCAGGGGCAACAAGTAAACCCACAGTATGCTGTTCACAAAGAACATCGTCAGATCCSTCCAGTTCTGTTCCTAAGCTTTGCGCTTCTGCAGTATTCTATGAGTCTGCTGAGCGAAGGGGCGGTTGCCAATGCTTTTGTCTTGGCAGGCACGAGACATGTTCGTCCGATTCTAGAATTGTCGAACACAAAACTTTTCTTTGACACCAATGGACACAAGCTCCAGGAACAATTTACAAATTCTACAAGCATRAAGAACAAACGGTCAAACGAGTCTCCGACCGCACTGTCAGCCTCGTCGTCGCTGTCGGCACCTACTGGCGGCGGCTTCTTCAACGGCGGCGGCGAACACCGTTCGAATCGCCGCCGCAATCGGTCGTACAAAATATATTGTGACATGGATGGGTGTCTAGTCAATTTTGAAAAGGGTGTCCGCATGCTCCTCAAAGCGGGAAGCTCCGATATCGACAAGCGGGTGATGTGGGAAGGCATTTCTCGAGCACCACAGTGGTTTGAAAACCTAGAGTGGCAAATGGACGGCAGGCGCCTCTGGAGCGCCATCAAGCACCTGAACCCCGATATTCTGACGGGGGTTCCCGACATAAAGTCCTCCCGTATAGAGAAATTCAATTGGTGCAAGAGAGAGCTAGGGCTAGAAGAAACTGACACGCACCATGTGGACATGGCCGGGGATGTGGCCGCATTGAGTGACCACTATAGCGTAAATGGAAATCTACCAAGAGATGATAAGACCAATATCATAACCTGCTGGAGCAACAACAAATATAAAGAATGCAGCAGGAGTGGATCGTAAGTGTAATACACTGAGTCGTTTTTAATGTATTCACTTTTATGGAAAAGCTTCAAACGTCATGTTTTCTCAATTCAGACTAACGCATTCTGTGCCGAACCGATGCACTGCTGGCGCAAATATTGATATGGATTGTGCAACGGACTTGAATTTTTAAAATATAAAATGAAATGCAACGGCAACGGCAACAGCATCCTTATCGACGATCGCATCGATCTAAAGAAAAATTGGGAAGATGCAGGGGGTATTTTTGTCCACCACGTGAACACCGAGACAACGATCCGAAAATTGCGTGATCTTGGTGTAATCTCAGAGGGGGGACTCGACAATGGAGAGAATGATTGGTACTGGGAGGGCTCCTGGAGATTATGGAAAGACGAGTGATTGATTGATTTGTTTTTGTCCCAAAATTTGTTTGCAGAACAGCCAACCCTCATATCAAAAGGGTAGATACCTAGGGTTCATGGCCACCAAAAAAATCGAAATTGTAGTTTTTTGCGCATATAGATTGCAGGTGCATACGCTACAATTTTAACTCGCTTGGCAATTAGATTTTTAGGCAGTATTTACAAGCATCCTCTAAAAGTTAGATCATACTAGCGTAGTACCGTTCTCGATCACTGCTACACGAGGATTACCGCCGTTTCTTTTTCATCTTTTTGTCTAAACCTCCAACTCCTTTTGTACCTCGCTGCGAAGATATATCTTTGTAACGTCGCAATAACTCCTCATCCGAAACCTTTTCTTTCCGTTTGCTAACTTCGCTGTTCTCTAAGATCGCTTTTGAATCCTTCCATATGCGCTCTATAGGTTCGTTGAAACCCCGAAACGATCGTCGTCCTATCAACGATGCCTCTATACCGTACATATCTACCGAGTTAGCTTGCGCGTAGTTTGACCCATCTGCGACATTTCCCATATGTRCCGAGCTAACATCGTCGCCGTCACCCGTGTCCATGCCATCGTCCATTTCCATTCTAGAATGAGAGAAAGTTTTTTCCTTCGAATGCGACTGCRGATTTTCTCTTTCGCTACTACTCCGGTCGTTTTGTGATATCTCGTCTTTCCTTCGCTTCATAAACCTCATGTTCATTGTCCCTCCCGATAATCGTTTTCGAGGGACCGCAGGTGACTTGGGAGTGTTGGACAAAGACATTTGGGAGTTCGCGTTCATGCCATCGCCGTCGTTGATGCCGAGTGGATCTAACTTTGGCCTAGATCCTTTCTTCTTTTTGTTCTTCTTGGTCGACGACGATGGAGTCGATTCATTCGGTTTTGCGCTCCCCGGCTTCCACATGACTGGTTTCTGTTCTTAATAGCTTTCAAGATTGCGTATTGGCACAGCGACTCGAATCAAATTCGATCGATAYAGGGCAAAAACGAGGAGAGGAGCGATAGTGACGACGTCCGTATCTTTTTTGAGAACAAAAAGCTTGTAATTTTTAAATCGAGAAGAAAGAATRCACGTATGCTTTGACTTTGTGGTCTGTCGGTGAGCTTGTTTTTGAAGACGTTGGAGGATTAACKTCTTGTTTTCGATGCGTCGTAACTGTCTACCCTGCCCGTCGACTTCATCGATCATTCAACAACACCCGTACTTTTTGAAGAAATCCCGCTTGTATTCATTTTTGTGTTTTAGCTAGGATCGCCATGGGATAAACGATTGATTGGAGAGCGATGAAAATTTTCGAAAGGATAGGGTCGCGTGCAGACGCATGAAATGAAAAACATGAAATGAAAAATTGAGTCGAAGGAATCAGGGATCACAGTATTCATTTATTTCATTCTTACGGTTCGTACGTATCGTACGATACGAACTCCCAGCCAACCCCTTCGATTTTCGATGCGGTAGCCGGTAGACGGTATCGTTGTGCCAGTACAGGTACGAGTTTAATCGGAGTAAAATGCGTTAACCGTATGAACCCTACCATGTCCTACAGGGCAGAAAGGCATTCTATTCAAACACCAAAAATTTTTACTAGTAGCATCACGGTTAATTTTGGGCACCATATTTTAGTACTGGTCCTACACAGATCTACTAGTTTTCGGTCACTTTTTCCACTACAAACAGCTCAATGAGGTAAAATAAGCTAAACACAACAGCTCCGGAAAGGCTTGTAATGAGATCCCCTTTGGGGAAAAGCTTCCTTATAGTTTTGGGAATAGCCCCATGTGTCATTGTTACACGATTAGGGGCCAGGGGGGGGGCGATTCTCCACTAACACCCGGTATGGCCAAAATTGGCCGGTTTACAAGASCSCCTGCTRSTTAGRAAATAGGCCAGAACTCTATCAAAAAACAACTTTAGAGTACCAGACTAAGCGCCCAGACCAAGATAATACAATTACTTAGTGATCCAGGTCATTGGGATGCTTAAGGATGYTCTGGCGGCTTAGAACTAGTATGCAGAAGTTACAGTAGTAGTGGGCCAAAATTCCTGCGTTAATTCTAGGTGTAATTTTACTCAAGTTAAACTCGTACGAGTACGTAGTCGGCTATGAGTGGGAGGAATTAGGATTATTGGGTCGACTGAGTCGAATAAAATATGGTTTCTGACGTTTGTTTTCATCCTTGTCGAAATGAAAAAACGGTTTAAAGTGGCGCGCAAAGAGTACAGATACAACTATCGTACCTGTGGGTAGTAGGAAGAGAAAGAGGAACAGAATACTACCGGGGTACATTCGTCGAGTGAGACATGTCACAAGTGAATTCGCCTAAGGACGAGCAAATTACCCAATCAGCGTGGCGGATAGAGATCGGTTCAATTTAGAATAATCTGTCAAAATAATTCTTCCTTCTAATTCTTTCTAGATCCTGCACGGATGACTTCCGTACGGTACGAAAAAGAAAGGCCCTTCAGTCAGGACACGAAACATCACGTGATTACAACGCACTGGACATACTGTATATCCGATTCCATCCGTTGACATCTATAAGTTCATTAAACTTTTTCATCGAGAAAAAATTGAACAACTTTCACACCATGATGACTGCACGATCCCTTTCTTTTCTTTTAGTATGCCTCTCGGGCACTGTCTCAGGCACTACTCAATCACAGTCGGAGCGCTACGAGCCCGACGAGTCGTTAAAATCTGCGTTTTCTTTGTACTCATCGTGGAAGAAAACTCACTCAAAGGGTGCACAACTGACTCTTGGAGMAGAGGAACAGAGATTCAAGATTTGGCTTGAGAATCACGGTATGTTATGAATCGATGGCCACTCTAAGGCTCCTTTTGTTTCCTTTAGTGTTATCGATGAGGAAGTTTGTTGACGCRTTGGTTATTTCCAAACTCCTTCGCCCTACACGACTGACAATGAACGAATATTGGTTATTTCATCTCTCATACCTTTTGGCAATTTATGGCGACGAAAATTGGTTACGAAGAACGAATCGAATCCCATAACAACCAAAAACCTGCACCCAGCTTCACGCTTGGTCACAACGAATATTCAGACTTGACCCGCGATGAATTTGCTCAGCGATTCCGCTTGGGAAAATACAGTCAATCTGCTGAATTAGAAAAGAAGCACGCCCAAAACTTGGTCAGTAGCCAAGCCGAAGTAAAGACAGCTCGTTACTTGAGCGAGGACCAGGTACCCCTCGATCTCCCTGATTACGTGAACTGGATTGCACTAGGGGGTGTCACGGATGTTAAGAACCAAGGCGCGTGTGGAAGCTGGTGAGTAATTTCGACGTCCGTTTAAGTCCCAACTTGTTTTTTCTTTTTTATAGTCCAAGCTAATTTCTTGAGAATTTTGTAATTTTATTTTTACCTTGTTAGCTGGGCCTTTTCGACTACAGGTGCGTTGGAAGGAGCGAAGTATGTGAAGACGGGCGAATTGGTGSCTCTTTCGGAACAAAATCTTTTGGACTGCGATCACAAAGACCTCGGRTGCAACGGAGGATTGATGGACAATGCATTTAAATTTGATGAGAAGAGCGGAGGTCTTTGCTCAGAAGCCGACTACCCATATGAAGCAAAGCAAGGCAGTGTGTGCAACCCTATGAATTGCACCGACGTCCCCGGAAGCATTGTTAGCACATTCTACGACGTTCCTTCCGGCAACGAGAAGACTATGTTAGCTGCTCTCGCCATGCAACCCATTAGTGTTGCCATTCAGGCCGACCAATTTGTATTTCAATTTTACAAGGGCGGTGTCTTGACTGACGATGCCTGTGGAGATCAGCTCGATCACGGCGTCTTGGCAGTTGGTTATGGATCGGATTTAGAGACCAACGAACCATACTTTGTGGTAAAGAACTCATGGGGACCAACCTGGGGAGAAGATGGATATATTCGCATGTCGCGTAACTCGAAGAACGAGTACGGCATGTGTGGTATTTTGAAAATGGCTTCCTACCCTGTCGTTGAATAAACAAAACAGTGACTCTTCAATCTGCGAGCGGACATGARAGAGGGCTATTCGCACTTAAATTCACGGCATCACATACGTTTTATTTACTTAACCGCAATATACTTGCATGGTACAGCGAAAGTCAATGCAAGTATGTGATTTGTAACCCCTTGCCTTGCAATAGAGCCTTGCAATAGACGAAACAACAATTTAGTGTTTGGCTTCAATAACAACAACAGGCGTTWAAATAAGTCTTTATTGAGCATTTTTGTTGCATTCAAAACTACTAGTAAAATTTATYGCACTGCTACGACAATGGCACTAATATTGATTCCGTGCGAATGTTTATTACGCAATTGCAGCGCTTAAGAATGAAAATACTGTAAGAATCACAGAAATATCTCTTTGTYACGACGRAGAAAGGAATGTACGGGACGACCAGTCCAGGCCAAACTTTTGGACGGAACTGCAGCAACGYACTTATGGAAAAACAAACAGTGTTTGATCCGAGACACTCACGCCTTCTGTAGCAGAGGCATGGCGATATCATGAAAACTGCCTGAAACTGTATGGTCTAAAGACAAKAGCAAACATTTTTGAGGCCGTACGCCTCACCATCGAAATTTCAGTGCTTTCGTGCACGCATTTTTTTAAATTACGAGGYATTTCCCTGAAAGTTACTACTACAAACTAATTACGCTTGAGCTTTCTTTTTCTGTTTGTTCCGGACGGAAAATCTTCAGCAACCCTTTTTTCGRGTGACTGTGAGAACTGAATAATCATTTCTTTCAAGCCGGGGTCGCCAGAGACTTCCATCATTTCCWCACACTCTGCTATGAGTTCAGAAAATAGAGCATCGGAACTCGCGTCCTTGACGCTTTGGAGAACAAATTCATTGACTCGGCCTTTTTCACAGCACCGAAAAAATATGCGTTTCACAGCTTCGTTCTTTGATGAGTCGGGTATTTGCAAACGAGAACACACTTGGAAGAACCAAGCATACGTCGCTGAAGAAGGCTCCGCACGACCAACWGGGACGTCGCTTATGAGCTCATCCATGACATCGAGTGCGATTTCAAAGGCTACCATCTCAACTTTTGGATCAATATTTCGAGAAAAGGCACAGGCTTGAATCACAAGAGAATGTGTGTATTCTGTTGGAGGATCGTGAAGTTTCTGTTGGGAGTGGCGCYTTCTAGWGCGTTCCAAAATTGCTAGAGCCCGTTCAGCCTTATTCGATGCATTTGATTTTGACCATGTTTTGATGACCATATTATAGGATCGATGGTTAGGAACCATGCTGGTGTCGCCTGCAGCACTCTTTCTTTCCATCAAATCAAGAATCATTTCAGCTCTGTTCCCCGCATCGTCATTTCCGATACTCTCTGCCCATGAATTCAAGACACAATTCATGACGCCCGTGTTAAYCACCAGGTGACTAGCATTATGATTCTTTTGCAAACTGATCATGTTCCGTAATATTTCTTCCGAGCATTCTCCAGCTTCACGATGGCGTTGCGAAGCGTATGATTCCATGACGTTCGTGAAACAACTCACATGTGGTGACAAGTGATGGTGTCCAGCTTTAWAYAAAGAAAGAAGTCTGTTCAATAAATAYCGAGCTCTGTATGGAGAATCCATTGTCCTTTGTCGACTGTAAAAACCAAGGATGGAAGTAAAGGACTTGATTTCTGGCATTTTCCCGCCATCTTCTTCTGCATATTCCAACGCTCGTTCCAGAACCGATTCTGCTCTTCTACCTGCATCTCGAACTTTACTATATAAGAAGGCATTGATTACGGCGTTGAATGAAAATGGATCTGGTCTCGCTTCGGTGTCTCCACTTTTTGCCAGTGAAAGCATATGATAAAGTAGTTCCTCTGCCCTGGTTGCTTGGTGTGATCTGGAGAGGCAATCTGACAAGACAAGAATCATGTTTGYTAAATAAGGTCAAGCTCGATTAACATCTTACACTTCRGAATCGTTCAAATGGACTGAAACTCACCTAGTAGAGCATTGTATGTTCTCGTGTTTGGTTTGACTCTTGGCCATCCCTCTCTGTCCTTTTCTTTCATTCGGGAAAGAAGTTTCAAACACTTCTGAGGTGCGTGCTTCGATCTTGATAAAGACCACGTAGAACAGACGATTGTGTAGTGGTAAGTATCTGGTGGMTCCTCTAGAATTTGCCTTTCGTATAGCTCTTCCATGCGTGAGAGGATGTCGTTTCCTCTTTGAGCTGCTTCGGGTGTCGCCAACCTCTGATAACATCGTAGAATTGCTGTGTAACTGAACGTGTCGGGTTTTGATGATGCTCCCCCCGCGTGCAACTGAAACATTCTTTCCAATGTTTCTTCGGCTCGTTTTGCAGCATCCTGAGTTTTTWTATACGATAAAGCGTTCAAGGCAGCGTTAAAACTTCGGGTGCTCGGTCTAAGGTGTTCCTGTCCTTCATCGGCGTATTCTTCCATTCGGGAAATGATATTAAATATTCTTTCGACTGCGTTTGGGTCTCGACTCTTCGATAAACAAGTYAGAACCACATTGAAGCATTCAATGTCTAAACTAACCAATGGAGGAGCGGCAATGGACAACTCTTCGCGTCGTTTCGCCTCGTCCTTCGATTTTCCTTCCATTCGTTCGAGAAGCGGCTCCGCTTTGTTTGCACCAAAGGTTGAATTTGGRCATCGTGAACACGCTAATATTGCGAGGAAGTATGTCAGGCGATCCGGATCAACATCGTAGCCACCTTCTAATGGTTCTTCGATTCGATTCACCATCTCAACAGCCCGCAACGCAGAATGCTTCGATGGCGTGCGGCTGTATGCGCTTAGCACATTGTTATAATTTCCAATATTCGGCCGAGCACGTTCTTCTCCTTTGGAGTAGGCATTGAGCATGTCTTGCAGCACAGCCATGGTCATTTTAGGGGCATCTTTTCGACCAGATCTTACGTAAACATCCTGGAGGGCCGAGTACACAGCATTCGTTTTCTTGACTTGGAGGCCGTTCATGGAATTGGCCAATGTCTCGGCTTTTGTTATCGATTGTTCGCTATTGTTCCGCGCATATAAATCTAGCATAATGGCAAATGTCACAGCATCTGGTCGAACCACACTCGCGCCGTCGGATTCGGTCAACATGACTCGAAGGATTTTCTCTGCACTCGAAATCGAATTGGTGTTCTTGCTCTTGGCCCAAGCGAGCATCAGCGCGTTGAAGCTCTTTGTTGTAGGCTTGATTCGCCCATCCCTGGTTTTTCTGTAGGTTTGTATCATGGCATCGTGAATGCTCTGGGCTCGTTCGGCCCCGGCGGCCTCGTCCGACTTTCCCCATGCCTCTATCGCCACTGTGTAAATCTTTGTTGACACATAAATGTCTCGATTCCCCGCACGCAAATCGTCCACTATTCGTTTCAACAGCGTTTCCACCATCATTGCTGCCTCAAGCGACTTTCTACGCGACCACTCGATCATAAGACTAGTGATGGATACAACATCGTCTTCCGTAAGATGCCCCAGCGGCATCACCGAAAGGTCTAGGGTTTCTGCTGTAGCATCTTCCAACCACCGCTCGTTTCGGGGAAAGCTGTTGCCCTTCGAAGTTGGTGCTTGTGCTGATCGATTCTTTCTCTTTCCATTCATTCCAGTATTGCCACTTTTTCCACTGCCGAGATATTTGTTGCTATTCGCGGTGTTCTTTGTGCTGCCATAGGTTTCTTCGACTTGGGCGTTCCCTCTGATGCTGGACTGTTTAGCATCTCGAACACCGTCCTGGGATGGTGAATTGTTGGTGCTCGAAAAAAACAATCGAAATTCTACGTTACGACTAGAATGTTTTGGCCATAAAAGAGAGTCGAGAACGGGGACAGTGTTTCTGTTGGGAAGGAACGAATCTGCTTTGTCCTGTGCAATGCTCCAGAGGAGGAGCAAACTCCATGTCCGGGCTTTTTTCATGTCGGGAAACCAACAAACGGCAGTCACATCAGACTAGTCTTGCTGTAGGAAATGTGGATACTCTTTCATCGGTGAAAGATAGATCTTTGCAACGTGATGTCTTCTCAACGGTACTGTACGAACAAAATGGTTCACCYCCCGAAGATTGTTGAACGAGGAGTGGCATCACCTGTTTTTTTTTTTCTACTTCAGTTTGGAAACAGAAGTGTTTAGGAAAAACAGAAAAACAGGAGAATTTACAGTAAAGGCAAATGACGCATGACACGCACGCACGGTTTATTACTAGTCTAACGTGTCCTAGGATTTATTACGGGGGGGGAAAAGATAGGAAAGAGAAAAATCAACCCTCCCCTAAATTTTTGAATGAAACCATATTTTTTTCAAAACTTGAGAGAACGAGTCGAAACAAACACAAAACGCAATGCTCTTCGGTGAACATTTCATCCTTTAGCTAAGACTATGAACTCGACTGAGCCAAAAGCATTTATTAGATCAATAGTGGTGTCGGGTATTGAATAGAAACTACACTACAAACCCCTGCCTCACTCTATAACTCGTCGCGTCATTCACTCCACCTGCCTGGAGGGTCGCCTGAAATTTTCTCCTTGTGTATTCATCTCGAATTCATCCATAAATGCATTCAGATCGTCTCCCTCGTCTTCTTCCGGCGTTGTTTGGGCTTCGATGGCAGCCGCCTCGTTCTGCTGTTGTTGTCGTTGCTGCTGCTGTAGCGAATGATCGTCTCCCCGGCTGTAGTGTTCGCCACCCGTTTGGAGTCCGAACTGATCGATTTCGTCCAGGACGTCGTCCACGGACAGATCGTTCGTGAGCGAAGACGACAAAACCTGCGATCCATCGGCAAAGACCCAGGTCGTCCCTGCGGGTCGGTTGCTTTCTTCCTTCGACAAGAATATGGAGACGGGGGAGCAACCGGGCATGTTTTCCCGGTCGGAGGAGCTGGCGTCGGGTCCCTCCGCCCTCGCCGCGTTCGATTCGGCAGCGGCGGTCCCGGCAATGCTCCCGACGTCTCTGACCAGGTTGCACACCTCCTCCAYGAATGCGGCTTTCCGCCTTTCCCGGTACACCGGGTCTTTGTAGCCGGACAGTGGCTTGGAGTCCAGCAGATCGGAGGTCGCCGGGCGTTTCACGGGRTTCTTTTGCAGGCACGAATCGACAAAGGACCGGAAGGATTTCGAAAACTCTTCGTCATCGTAGGATTCCAGCCATTCCTCTGAGACGTCTCCGTCTTCCTCGTCGTACGTATCTAGGCTGGGGGGATCTTCCTGGATGGTGAGTATCAATACTTTCATGGGTGGAAATTTAGCGTATGGGGCATATCCCTTTGCCAATTCCATGGCGGTAATGCCCAGGGACCATATATCGGCCTTGTAGTCGTATCCATTGATTTGCTCCATGACCTCGGGCGCCTGCGTGGCGTGGAATGGAATGGCACGGAAGGAAGAATAAAAGGGAGGAATGAAAACGAGTTAAAATCGGGAACGCCGCGTGATAAGAGATTGAACGAGATAGTGGAAGGTAGAGGTCGACCAAACACGGCCMGCCATCAACGTCAAGAACGACAATAGCACTGCTGATATCGAGGAGCAGCASGCGGCAGGCGCAAACATCGCACACGGGCAACACGGATGAAACCAGGCAATGCGAGACAATGCGATGCGATGCGGTGCGGTGCGATACGTACCATCCAGCACGGGGTTCCGACAAAAGTCTTTGCYTTTTCTTGCTGGGTCCCCGCATTGACGAGCCAGCCGCTGACGCCGAAATCCGCTATCCGGACGTCGCCGTTGTGGTCGATCAGTATGTTTCCGGCCTTGATGTCCCTGTGGATCTGTCCGTTGTGCTCGTGGATGTACTGCAGCCCCAGAAGCGTCTCGTGCATGATGTAGAGAATGTGGTGCTCCATGGGGAGCGGGACCTCTGTCGAAGGTTCCGTTTGGGCGGCCGCCGCCTCCCTCCTCTTGCGGGCGGCGGCGATCCTCCGGGCCCCCTGGAGGCAGTGGAGGGAAGACCCCTTCCGCATCAGCTGCGTGACGAGCCACAGATCGGTCGACCGGACAAAGGCGGCAAAGCACGACAGAACGTTGGGGTGGCTGGACAACCGCATGGACTGGACCTCGAGGCGGATCTCGGAGAGGTTCGAGTCGACGTGGTCGAGGTTCAGAATCTTGATTGCACAATCGACGGTGGCGGTTTGTTGTTGTTGTTGCTGCTGCTGCTGCTGTTGGTTCGATGGCGGTAGCGATGTGTCGTTGTCGCTTTCGCTGCTGCCATTGGCATTGGCATTGCTAATGGAAACCCCGGCGTTCACGGAGGAGACAACGGTGGTGCGGGCCCTCCAAACGGTCGCAAAGGCTCCCTGGCCGATCTTCGTTGTCAGCTCGAACAGAGAGGGGTCGGTCGGCCATTCCGCGGAGGAGGGATCTACTTTGGAACCCGCCTCTGCTGAAACAATCTGCTGTCCGCTCATCGTGGAAACTATTGTACGTGGTTTCCTCGCTTTAGTGGAATCGGACGCGTCGGTGGTGGTGGTGGTTCCTCTCGGTAGGAATCTTGCACTCGAACCAATTAGAGTCACGGCTCTTTCCCCGAATACGGTACGCGCTCCTATCTTGTTGCTGCGCTGGGTGCTCGCAGTAGTGGTGGTGATAAGACGTTCCCGAGGCGACTGGAGATGCCGTCAAAGCGAAAATGGCCATGAGGCACACGAGGCATCGCTTTTTGCTCTCGATCAAATACCTCATGATACAGCGGTCTACAGCAGTGATTCGAAGTACCGTACTACTAGTAGTAGTGGTACGAGTACTCGCACTGCTCTTGTCTCGTACCTCACTCTACTTTTCCTTACCGGTACTCGTACGTTACTTGTAGAGCATTTTGAATTTCTGTTCGAATGAAATGAATTCGTGTAGACTCACTCTCATTTATATACATGTATTCGACTCAATCGACTCGAGGGAATCCTGATCCATCGAAAATCTCATACAAAAAGACCTGTTATGTCTTTTTCCTTTCTTTCCTACCGGTACTCTATCTGCTCTACCGATGCTATCCGTATTCCATACCTACCGGTACGGATACCCTAGAACAACATCGATTGGTCTTCACAACCCAACGTTCCAGTGAAACACAACCTACAGCATCCACGAACGGAACGGAACGGAACGGAACAGAACAGAAGCGGGACGGCTATTTTCTACCCACAACCATGGCGGACACAGCAGTTGCCGACGGGAGCTCGGCTTCCCTGGAGGCGGAACTGAATGCCCTGGTCTCGTCCAGGTCCTTCAGCGTGGCATCCTATCTCAACCTGGCGCTATCGTCGTCGTCGTCGTCGGTTGCGGCACCGGGCGCAGCGCCGGGTCCGGCGCCCGACGACCTCCAGCGCAAGATGGCCGAGCTGGCCCTGCAGCTGCAGATCCAGACGCAGTCGTGCCACGAGGACATCGGGCGAATCGGTGCGGAGCTCCAGGCCATACTCCCGCGGTGTGCCGCCGATGTCGGCCGCGTTGGCGTCGGCCTGGAGGGGATGCGGGTGGACGCCGAGACCCTCCTGGAAACAACGGGCATGGGGGGAGGAGAGGACGGCCTGTCGGGATCCCTGGAGACCCTCTCGACGCTCCACGCACTCCGGGCCAACCTGTCCGGGACCAAGGAGGTCCTCACGGCAGCGGCGACGTGGGACTCGACCATCGGGAGCGTGGCGCCCCTCCTGGCGGAGCAGAACCTCACCGAGGCCGTTCACGCCCTGGCGCAGCTCGAGACCGGAGAGCGGGCCCTGAGGGGGATGCCCAACCGGGAGGAACGCCAGAGGTCGATCCAGGACATCCGGGAGCAGGTCCAGGTGCTCCTCCAGCCCCAGCTCCGGCACGCCCTCCAAAACATGCACACCCGGCTGGCGCCCCTCCAGCAGTGCGTCACGCTGTACTCCAAGCTCGGCAAGATGGATTCCCTCCGGGACGACTACGTCAAGCAGCGCCCAGGGGCCGTCCACAARGCCTGGTTCTCCTACGCGCCACCGAAGACTGCCTACGGTGGAGGTCGCAATAGCAGCGGCGCCACCACCACAGCCACCGCTTCCGGCACGCCGGAAGACGGAGCCGCCGGTGGCATGACGTCTTCGGACCAAGCTGCGGCGGCGCGGCAGGCGGGGGAAGCCTTTTTGGCGTGGCTGCCCGGCTGGTACGAGACGGTTCTCAACCTGCTGGGAGAAGAACGCCGCCAGGCGTCGACCGTCTTTGGACCGACCGAGGCCCCCGAAATCGTGGTCCGGGTCCTCCGGGAAGCCTTCCGGCCCATCCTGCCGTCGTTTCAGAGCCGGCTGGAGATGGCCTTTTCGTCGGCCACGACGGCAACCGCCGGCGGTGCCACCGCAATGGGATCCCTGGAGACCATTTGTTCCATCTACGAATCCACTCTGCGATTCCTTTCCCTGGCCTACGATCTCGTTGCGGGTACCTTTCTGGATCTGGTCGAGTCCGGGGCGAACAAAAAAGGAGACACGGGCCTCGAGCTGTTCAAGGACATGCAGGGCGTGTTTTTGCAGCTCGCGTCTCCCTTTGCGCTGTACGCACAGCGGTTTCCCGACCTCGAGGCCAAGCATTCCCGCGTGGCGGCCGGAATGGTGTCCAAGGACATACAACAAACCGTCGGAACCCTTTCGTCGACCTCAATCACCCTGCAAACCCTACAGGAGGCCACGAATCGTCTCAAGGACCTGGCGTCCTTTATCTTCCCGATCGTGGATGGATCCCTGCTTCGGTTCGAGCTCCTGAACGGTGGGTATCGTGTCCGGGCCGCCCTCCGGTCGGTCGACACCATTCTATCCAATCACCTGGGAGAACTAGTCATCGCGGTCAATTCCCTATCGGCTGCAATGACGGTCGATGCCAACAAGCTGGCGGACGAGTTCGATGAGCAACACGTTCTCTGTGCCATGGAAGTTCTCAAGATGGTAGGAAACTTTCGCCGCGACATGAGAAATTTTGAGGGCGGAACCCGGGGGCGAATGCAGGCCCTTTCGGAACGAATGGAAGACCACCTAGCCCAAGCAGCCAATCTGGAGGCCCCGGGCAATTCGTTTCTCGTGCCAGATTCCTTGTCAGTCATGGAGATCGATTCATACCTCACAAGCGTATTCTGTAGCGACGACGACACGAGTACGGACGGAGACGAGGCAAACCCATCGCTGGCGGCGCTGCAAACCATAGGGATCGGACAGGATGTTCTGTATTCCGCTGCCGAAGAGGCGGTRAAACGGTTGGCGAGCAGCTGCCACTCTTTTGTCTTCGATGTGTGCTCGGCCGTTCCCAACAAGCACCTGAATGCGCTTTCGGAAATGACGGCCTGGAGKGAAAGTGATTCGGCTTCCGACAACTTCGATTCCTATGGCACGCTACCCCAGCAATACATCACACAGGTGGGTGAGCATATGCTGTCGCTGGTACAGGCATTCGAACCCTTTGCCTCTGATCCCGCCACCCTGTCCCTGGTCAACGAGGTCATGGACAACGCACGGGACGTGGCCCTTCAATCGTGGAGCGAATTCGCCGCTTCCGCGGGATACGTCGGCTCCGATTCCGCTGTCTCCAGCCTGATGAACGGGAAGGACATCCTGGGCCTCGTCCTGGCAAACGCGGCGCTCACCGAGGAAGACGCGGCCCTCGAGGAAGGTGCCACGGAGGACGAAATCCGCAGCGCGGCCTTTTGCAATGTTTGGCTCGATGCCATCGGGTTRGGCGTGACGGGGCGATTGCTGGAACGGATCATGCGCATCCCGCAGCTCACCCCGAAGGGCTGCGACCACCTGAACTCGGACCTGAACTACCTGGTGAACGTCTTTTCCGCGCTGGGGGTGGCCGGACACCCACACCCCCTTGTGACCCACACGGCCGCCGTTGCCATGCTCTCAGACGACGATCTAAATGCGCAAATCCGGTCTCGAAATATGGACTCCGAGGTCGAAATCGCACTCCGAGCCCTGGAAGCCAGAATAGCACTGCGGCGTGGAATTTCGGTTGGTTAGGACAAAAAACGTTCCGGTGCACTGATGGAGATACTACGGGTGTTACGAAAGAACGCGATAATTTTGGAAAAATTGTTATCGACAACTACTTCCATTTCAGAATTCTTAGGTTGTGTAGTCGCCTTTTTAAGATTGTAGTTACTTTATGCTGACATAGCTCACAAGCCATCGGCTTAGTTTGTCATTCAAGGGCTGCTCCCTGCACACCTCGAATTTCAGTCCGGCTTTTTCTGTCAAGTCCTCGTGCGGGAGCATTTCTGTAAGCGTTTGTTCATCGGTGACCGGAACGAAAGCAATCAGTCTTCCTCCCGCTTTCAGCAGGCGCTCGCGATCGGTAGCACCTCTATCGATTGCGATCGACGTGAACAATTCTTCCAATGGACTATTTTCATTGTAACCGATGGATTCTCGGATTCCATACGGAGGATCGGCAATGATTGCGTCAAAGGCTTCATTACCGACCGCTTCTTTTGCGGTCTCTCGGATAGTGACATTAGTGGAATCCCCGTGAATAATTTGACTGGGCAGTTTCAGATTTCTAGTGGTAAAGTCTTCGACGATGTGCTCCCGATTGACAAGCCCGTTGTGAGCAATCTCAATGCCAACGGTTTCCGCATCGGGGGCGATCATGGCTGCTGCCAACAAAGTGGTACACGAACCAGCATAGGGATCCAAAATTCTATCCCGAGCCTTGATTCTTGCAATATTGCAAAGAACAAAGGCAGCAATGGGCTCCAGTGGTGTGTTGGTGATGCATATCCTTTCCGCCGGTGCGATGGAAAATATTTTGGGTCCCGACGCAATCCGACGTGCAAGAACCTTGCGGCCAACACGCACACCATCGATTTCTTCCTCGAGACCGTCGAATATGTAAATTTTGTTGTCAGGATTTTCCAGGTTTACCTTTCCTCCAAAACGGATCATCAGGTCTTTCAGGGCGTTCAAGCCATCCCTCTCTATTTTCATCGATCGCGTGCGCGAGCTGTAACGTTTGCCTCTTCCTTTGTTCGAGTGCTCCTCTGGAATTACGGACGAATTGTACATACGTGCTCGAAAGCACCACGTTGCTTTCTCGTTGGCCCCTCCTTCGTAAAGGTCCGAAAACCCACCATCTTTAATTGCAAGATCCGCTAAGTCATCTAGTTTGTCACTTGAGGCCACAATCTCGTAGAAACCATGAATTAAAGAACATCTTTCAACGGCTCGAATGACGGTTGCCTTGGAAACAGCGAGCAAATTGGAATCATTAGAGGAGAAGGACACAAACTGCATAGCTTCGTTGAAATGTTCGATGTTCATATCCGTCATGGACTCATTTCCAATGTAATTTAAAGCATTAGTAAAGTTGACTTGAGGGATCACCTTGCTGTCATCGCTTGTAGTATCTCTGGCATGGTCCAATGACGATGACGTAGGTAGCTTTTGGGAACAGAGTTCAGCTGCAAGAGCACTTTCAAATTCCAAGTGTCTAAACGATTTGCTATATCCTGGATCTTTTTCCCCTCTCCAGTGGATTAGGAATTTTCTCTCTGAGGTATCAGTATTCATAGAGACACTATCTGCTGTCCGTTCTGTATCCGCCAATACCGAAAGGATTACTGATGATTGTTGACAACGATGATGCCGTTGCGTTGTCGTTGGCTGTTCTGGCAATCGAAACCCTGAGCAGCAGAAAAGAACTGTTCCTTCTAGCAGCAACAAAAATAGAAGACTTCTACTACTGAGTTCTTTTCTCATTGTATTAAATTTGATTGCCGATGTCCTTCAATTCCTTTATCGGCCGTCAATCGTACATCACATAAATAATGACGGACGATGCTTCGCTGCAACCAAAACAAAGTTTCGAATTTTGATTTGACAGATGATGATGTTTGTTTGATGGTTGATGATTTCCGAACGGAAAAAAGAGATTTTAGGATGATATTCGTTCGTCTGTCCGTCATCAATTCGACCAGAACATAACTCTGTCATCTTTTGAAATATTTTCCCCTTTCTTCGTTTTGTGCACTAGTTAAAGATGTTCGGAAGGATCATGATTCAAAACAACATCAAGTCTGATAGCAAGAACCCATGGTGAACACTGGAGCAGTATTTTGTATGTTTATATACGAAGATTAGGTTTGTCTTCATTCGCTTTTTCGCGAGATCATTGCAGAGCAGAAAAATACTGAATAATATTATTTTGATGTTGTATTAATTCTTGAACATTGCTACGGTGCAGTGCTCCTCAAAAGCACCCGTCTAATCTGTTGTTGGCTTGGCAGCGCCAACCGAGTAATCGTACCGGCTGATAGGGACAGTTCGGGTTCTCGCCATTTCTACCTTGTGTCCAAAGAGATCTCGAATATTGTTAATACGGTACTTGATCATGGTAGGACGTTCCAGCGACAAACCCCAGGCAATAACTCGGACATCCTCTGGTAAGCCCATGGGTCGCAGCATTTCAGGACGGAACATACCCGAGTTTCCAATTTCTGTCCATTTTTTCAGGTCTGGGTGGTATCCGAAAATTTCCATCGATGGCTCTGTGTATGGATTGAAGGCAGGTTTGAAACGAAGCTCTGTAATTCCAATCTTGTTCAAAAAGGTCTCGATGGTACCAATCAAGTCGCCAAGAGAAAGGTTGTAGTCAGCCACCCATCCTTCTACTTGGTGAAACTCACACAAGTGTGTTGCATCCATGGTTTCGTTACGGAAGACACGGTCGACCGAGAAGTAACGAGCTGGCTTGAACCCGCCCGGYTGGTTTGCAAGTTTGTAAAGCATCTGCGAAGATACAGCAGTAGTGTGCGTTCGGAGCAAGTTTTTGAAGGCTTCTTCTTTCTTAAAGTCGTACCGATATCCGATGGATCCGTGGCCTCCCTTTTCATGCATTTCTTTCACTCGCTCGTAGTAATCTTCCGGAACGCTTACCGTTTCGGCAGGATTTTTGATGAAAAAGGTGTCGTGGGCATCCCGCGCTGGATGCGATTGTGGCTGAAAGAGCGAATCGAAATTCCAAAAGGAGGACTCCACCCACTTGTTAGTCGGCATTTCTTGGAATCCCATTTCCATGAGAATCTTTCGAAATTCTGCTCGGACCTTGAGGAGCGGATGGAGGTAACCGCCTCCCACCTTTTCTCCCAAAACTAAGAAATTGTAAGGTTTGAACTCGGTAGTCTCCCAGGATCCAGAGTCCAACATCTCCTTTGTCAAATCGGCAGCCTTTTTCACTCGCTGGGGAGCATATTGAGGTCCTCGTGTGACCTTGTGGGACTTCTGAGTAACCAGAGTAATAAGTTTTCGTCTTTTCAAGTCTTTTGCGGTCTATTAGTATCGTTTGCCGGTGAAATAAATTTGAAGAAAGAGTGAGCTCGACGAATCAAAYATATCTTTGGTGTCGATGTATTTTTCCAACCGTCATTGACCATGTCTTCCATATTAATTTCAGTAAAACTTGAACGTACCTTGTCGTCAATGGCCTTCAGGTCTAGCAGAAGCTTTTGAACGGTGTCTTCTACTTCGTCGTCTTTCTTCAGCGCAACAAGATCTCCTCCTTCTTTTTTGATCCATTTCGACTTCATACAGTTTCCCATACCAATCTTGGCCACGTCTTTTCCGACCTTGGCCTGTAGGTCGCCCATGGACAGCTTTCCTGCCTCGTTCAGGGCCTTCAACACGATGATTTCCTGGGCCCCGTTGGCTACAACACCTTCTCCTTCCTTCGTTAGAGTGTAAAAACTCGTTTTCAGGTCCTCCGCTACGACATACTGCTCGACCAAGAGKGACTTGATCGCACCAACCACTTTCGCGTGGTCGAGATTGTTGCTTGCGGCCCACGGCTGGGTATCAGGAATGACGGCATCCGGAGAAGACGACAAAAAGGTCAAAATGGCGGTCTCACTATCTTCTGAGCTCATTTTCACGATATTGGAATGATTTGATTTCTTCAAGATAGAATAATTTCCGTCGACCGTCCTCGATTGGGGAATGTTTCCTGGAGTTATCTGGTCTACTAGTGCTTGATGTAATGGAGCAATCCTTGCTTTCGAGGCTGCTAGGAAAGGAGAAAATATTGCCCTTGTTTTGTCGTCGGCGTGTGGTGCTTTTTCTTGCGCAAGATTCCTCTGTTTGAGTCTATTTGTTTTCCTCTGACGCGTGGAACCAGAAAATAAATTTCAAATTTCTCTTCACCTGTCTACGTACGGTACAGTACTCGTACTACGGTACATTAGGAACAGTCTACAAGCATCAGTATGATATATATGATAAGTATGTATTGAATTATATTATGATACGTATAAGTCATAACGAAGGAACAATTCTTTATTGAGAGACCGATCGAAGGGACGCATTGCATTGCAAATTCTAAAGAGAATTCGTGACTGGACTCAAAATATTGATAGCAATGGAACAGCCATGCAGGCGTCTTATGCCCCCCTCGTGCCCAAATTCATTTTTTTCAAAATCGAAACTATCCGTTTGGTTCTGTTTCTTTTTCTTACAGTAAGTGGACTCTTCAATAGCTTCTCTCCTAACGTACCGGTACCGCCAAGGCCGCCAAGCAACTAACTCGCACCATATCCAGGTGATCCTCCTCGAAAACACGAAGTACCGTGCTGCATTTGAAAACGTGATTCGAAGACAGAACAAGGTGCGCACCCCTTACCCCCTGCAAGACTGGATCCAGCGGTAGGCTACAGCAGCGCGCCGAGCATCGATCATACCATGGCGGAACAACAACAGCAAGGATTTTCAACGCCGCTGACGGCCCTCCAAGAGGAATGCTACCGACTTTTGCAATCCAAACAATACAAGAGCTGCGAAATTTTGACCCAGATGGAACTCTCGATGGCAGAAAAGGAAGGCCGCGATACTCGCGTTGCATGGGCTTTCTTGGGGGAGTGTGCCCAGCTCACACACCAATACAACAAGGCCATATCCTATTACCGCCAGATCCAGCACTTTGGGTCATACAAGTATCGTCTGAAAGAAGCACAGTGCCTCCAAGCGAAGGGGAATATTGTAGAAGCATCGTCGGTTCTGGAATTAATCCCCCACCACGAACGAAATTTAACAATTCACATGACTCTTGGTCAGCTCTACATTGCTACGGGGCGAACAGGTTCTGCATCGGATTGCTTTGTTCGAAGTCTAATGGAGAACCCAATGGCACTGGAAGCAATCGAGTGGTTGGCGGTCTTAGGAACAACGGACAAGGCCATGGTACTCGATGCGGTGGAAAAGGGATTTAAAAAAGTATCGGCACAGCAGCAACAGCAACAAAGGGGGGATGTCATGAACGATTTATCGGCAATCATACCGGTCAAAGAATTCGTTACGGCACAGTTTGCCAAGTCTCGCCACCAGACGGCGTCCGCGCTCCAGCTTTTCACCGCACTGGAAAAAATATTTCCAAGGAACGTCTACCTGATGCTGAAAATCGCCAACCTGCAAAACCAAATGAACGACGAAGAACGAGCGGGGAGGACGTTTGCGCAAGTCAGACAGCTAGATCCTACGAACATTGATTGCATGGATCTCTATGGTCAGATTTTGGCCCGGGAAAACAATTTGGACGCGCTGAATCAGCTTGCTTCAACCCTTCTGGAAATCGATGATAGACGCCCAGAGGCCTGGTCCGCTCTAGCGCTGTATCACGAGGCACGCCAGGACCACGAAAAAGCCCTGGCCTTTGTGGAAAAAGCAATATCGATGGACCAACGGAATGCATTCGCCCACCGTCTGAAGGGAGCTATTTTGCTGGCCGACAATCGACCAGAGCACGCAGCGGTGTCCTTTTTCAAATCGAACGAATTCAAGCGGGACGTCTCTAGCTACGAAGGCCTCGTAGACTCGTACCTGCTAGCCGGAAAGTACAAGGAAGCAATTTGCGCAGCGAAGGAGGCGATCACAGCCGCTCCACGTGATCCACGAGCGGTCACGCTGGTTGGATTGGCCCTGCAACAAGGGCAGGTAGGATCGAACAGCGTGGAAGGAATGGAAAAGGCAAAGAGAGCGCTCCGCAAAGCGCTGGCCCTGGATCCATCGGCACTGAGACCTTTGCTCTCCCTGGTCCAGCTCCATGCGCAGGAAAAGGACTATGACACCTGCATCGATCTCCTTCGCCAGGGAATCGAAGGGACATCTGAATCGAAGAGTTCGCTCCAGGGACAAGATATTTTGCAGACCAAGCTAGGGGAGATCTACATGGCCGCGGAAAACTATAAGGATGCGATCGCCTCCTTTCATGCAGCTCTTGCCCTGAATCCCATGAGCACAGAGGTCCAGCACTTGCTCGAAAAACTGGAGCAACAAGTTCAAGGGGTTGACACAAGCGATCATACGGACGATATCGTGGAAGATTCGCCCACGAGCTATAGGGAAGGAAGACCGTCATATTAAAAATAAATACTCTCTAATGCAGAACGGTTTGACAAATCAGATTTATTATCGCACAACGCTAACAGACGATGAGGAGAATCAAATTTAGAATTTCAGCTGCGTACTTCATAGCACCAACGCAGTTGCAGCCACCGACAGAGATGCTGGTCGACCCTTGAGATCTTGTCAAGTAAACCACGATCGATACCGGAGGCACCCAATGAAGAGAATATAAAATACGCAGTATTCAGCTAGGACACCGAGTAGCATAAAATAGAAGAATACATTGTGGTAAAGCTCTGTGATTTGATAATATTGATTTATTTTTAGTGTACAGCTATATCGTATGCTTCCGAAGGAGCATAATTATAATAATCTAGGAAAAAGCAATAGTCTTCTCACCGTTTCGTCAGTCCTCCGAATGTATCAAAATCTAGCGACGACGACCGGCTGCTTTGCGCCCTCTTCCAACCTCGTCCTGGTCTAATCGGAACATAGAATTCAATTCCTTTAGTGTTTGTTGCTTCCCTTCAATGCTCTCCGTCTTCCTCAGGTGCGCCATGGGTCCGTGGAGAAGCTTGTTGACAATCCCCCTCGACAGCCTTTCCACAGCTTCCATTTCTTTATCGGTAAGGTTGGCGTTTGCGAGCTTGCGTGTGGCCTTAGCGAGCTCTTCCTCACGGAAACCGTTTGCTCTTTCCTGCAGTTGGTTGATGGTAGGAATAGCAGAAAGAGATTCACGCCAGGCACCGAATTGGGATGCTTCTTCCGACAGCAAGTTCTCGGCCTCGATCATTTCTTTTTGACGCATGGCGGTGTTCTTTGCGACAACTGCCTTGAGATCATCGACGTTGTAGACCTTTGCGTTTGGAACCTATAGAAATGATTTCGTTGGGAACAAAATGGAAAATTTCGATAAGAAAAGGACACGGATTACAAAGCACGCCATACAGCAGAATACCAGCATAGAGAAACGATTGACGATCAAGTAAAACTTACGTTCTTGCAATCTTCTCCAATGTTTCTTGGAACGGCAATATCAACGAGCATCATGGGGCGTCCGCCCGCAAGGCCGTTGGCTTCCATCTTTTCTTGGTCAATGACGTAATCAACGCACGAAGTGGCTGTGTATACAATGTCGGACCGTCCGACAACGTCCCAGAGATCGTCCATCAGCTTGATCTCGATGTCAATATCTGGGAATTGTTCCGCAAGCTCCTGTGGCCTGGGCAATGAACGGTTGACAATAGTGATTTTTTCGAGTCCCCGCGACGCCAAGTGAGTCACCAAGAGACGGGTCATCGTACCAGCACCGACAACGGCCAAGCGTGCCTCCGAAAAGGGAAGGTTGAGGTCAGGGACAGAGAGCATCTCGGTGAGTTCCACCGCTGCCGACGAGACACTGACGGATCCCTTGGAAATGCCGGTTTCGGATCGGACGCGTTTTCCTGCCGCAACGGCGTTGTTGAGAAGTCTCGAGAGGACTTTTCCTCCGCATCCGTCTTCCTCGATGGAGTGAAGGTGGCACTGACGGACCTGGGACAGGATCTGTCCCTCTCCGACGATAAGGGAATCCAAACCACCGGCCACTCTCATGATGTGCCAAACGGCGTCGTCTCCGGAAAGCATAAACAGGTTTTTTCGGAGCTCCGAAACGGGCAGGCCGGAACGCTTGGCAAGGAATTTGGTGACGCTGGCCATGGCGGCTCGAGGATCCGATGCAGCATAATAAATCTCGAAACGATTGCAGGTACTCAGGACGGCGGCTTCGGTGACGTCTCCTGTGTTGCAAATCTCGTTCGATGCAGTGTTCCAGTCGCATTCGGCGACGGCGAGCTTCTCACGGACTTCGACATCAGCGTGGTGGATGGAAAGACCGACGCAGTGGACCTGAAGTCCCTTGGATGCGGCCTCCAGTCGTTCCTGTTGTCGTGTTCACATTTGATATTGGTTCAACAAAATAAAATARAAGACATGTTCGAGGGAAGAGACAGACAAMGAAAAAGAGATCATGTGGTGAGCACAAGCGGTGCGGTAGAAGAAGGTTGGATGGAAACCAATGGAGGGTATGGAACACRGTGGTTTCGAGACTGAAACAAAGATACGGTAGAGTATATCGATCCAAACATACCTCTCTCGTCTTTCGAGGCCTGGCGGCTTCGGTATCGTTGTCGACAATCTCGGAGGAGGCAACCGCAAGTTGTGTGTTCTGCACTGTGGCACGAGATTGAACGCCGGCGACTCGGGCCGTGCTCTGTGTGGGAACAAAGGAGGATACGGAGGTTGCAGACGATGCCGCGACAACGGCGGCCAGGCTAGTGATTGCGGATTGGTATTTCATTGTGTTGTTGTGATTTCTATTTCTTGTTCTTCTTGTTGCGTTCTGAGTATGGGAAACGAGGCAGGTTATGATGTCTGGTTTTGGTGTTCTGGAGTTYGCTATGTAGCTTGGTCTGTAAGGTTTCACTTGGTCCGTAAGTGGATGGRGATCTTCTAGCTTTGGTGTCGAAGCAGRATGGAAACGGTTGTAATACGAGTTCTAAGATAAGTGACAAGAACATAGAATTCAGTTGGCGGTTTTGGGCTTGGATTCAACATTCGTCTCAGTTCAACAAGCGATTTTAGAATTGTTTGTTTTCTTTCTTTCATTCGCTGTGCCAAACTGTACGAGGGGGCCCTCGTGAAAGTAGTACYGTGCGTTACCATGAACCAGCGGGAGCGAACGATTGATCGCCGTCTGTAGTACCGTACCGTACCGTACTTTACGTTAAAGGTTCGACCAGGAGAACAAACTTCTACGAGCAGAAGGATGTTGTATCGGAAGTACCGTACGGAAGCTGTAGCCCAGGGTGCAGCAGTACAAGTCCAAACGGTACACTACGCAAGTCGAAGGACGAACCAGTAGTAGCTAGCGCCAGAAGGAGAAAACCGAAGGAACCCTTTCGCGCGGCGAATCATTCAGAGACACAAGGCGCGCGCTTTGCCTCTGGAACTTCAAGGTGCACAAAACTCGTCCCATTCCACGTGTTTTTCGAATTCCGTTTCGGTTGCAAAAGGAGTAACCGTAATAACGTACGATATCGTACCGTACGTACGTACATGCTCCTWGTATTCTTAGTTCACTCCTGTTCGACCRTCTCGACTCAATAAACAGAGAGGCGATGGTATTCCGCGACTAAGGGTAACGATTAAAGCCTGTGCCCTCCGGAACCCACGCGCATCCCCCCTTTTTGAATTCCTCCCCTAGCAAAACGTCGGTTATTCTTCAAAAAAATACCCCACGTTTTAGAATTGTGGGTTATTTCATGTGAAAGATAACCCATGTTTCTAAAACATGGGTTATTTTATAGGAAAAATAACCCATGAAAAACCCACGAATAACCCACAATATAAGG